ACGGCACATAACAACAACAACAATGAACTTCCAGTGAATTATGGACAGCCTCCAAAAACTCCAATGAACTTTGATAAATGTCAGTAGTTGTAGAGTGGCTTCGGGCCTTTTGTTCATAGGGTCGCTATAAGTCGTGCTCAATTCAAAGGCAATAAACAACAACAGTAACAACATTTAGTGTCATACCCTCTGACATTGTCACTTGGTGCAGTCCACACTCCCCACATCCACTCTTCGTGGCACCATTTTCTGAAATAAATTGACAGATAAACACCTTCCCAAAGTATTGCTTTTAAAAACTGATGCTCCTGAGAACATGTCTTCCAGGGGAGACTTTTGAGGTTCCCCAAGGGCACTTCCTCATTTGCTGTTGCCTTCTCTCATGTCGTAAACAGCTGTGAAAAACAGCCATCCTGAATACAGTGCACTGCTCTTGAATCTAAAAGCCTTAAGATGCTAAACCAAAATACTGATATCCTGTCAGCCTGTCCCTCTTCTTCCAAGGCAGATTCGATTGTTTCTTTTGGTCGTCCTGATATCTTTACTGTCCTTCACCAACACTACACTTCAAAGGCCCTGTGACACTGAGCTAGCTTAAGCCCAGCAGAGATGGTGAACAGGTGTTTCATTCTCTTGTCCAGAGGCTAACTTGAGTCGAAGTCGGCTCACCAGCCCCACCACTGATTGACCTGCAGACATGAACAGATCCTTCAGCCAGGCAGCTGCTTTTCTCTGAGACAAAAGTAGCAGTGCTAATAAAGAATGGAGATGGGGGGAGTGGGAATTATTGCTTAAAGGGTAATGAGTTTCTGTCTGAAATGATGAAATCTTGGATAGTGGCTGGGCTTGTACAGCATGATGAATTAATTAATGTCACCAGATAGTATACTTAAGAATAGCTTAAATGGCTGGTGTCTTGAGAAATTTATTTTATAATTTAAAATTTCTTCTGCTTTCAACAAAACTTGAGGACTTAGAGTTATCATCTGATGAAAATGTCATTTTTTCCAGGATTATATTAAGAGTTCAAAGGGTGAAATGACAGTGCAGATTCTTCTCAGTGTCACCTGTCCGTGTGCACAAGGTCCTTAAACCTTCATGGCTGCCAAGAAAATAGAGGTAGAAATGCCTCTGAACTTTTTCTCATTCCAACAATAAGGCAGATGCATCCACAAATTCATGAACAAATTGGGCAGGAATTCCTATCCATCTCATTAAGAAACACATACCAGTGGCAAGAAGTTGCACCGCAATCTCAGAGGTACATGGTTCGAATCCACCAGATGCTCTGCTGGAGAAGGAGGAACAATCTTCTCCTGTATCCGCCAGATCTGATTTGACGGTACACACAAAAAATAATGAAATGAAATAAAATTTAAAAAAAAAACAAAACACCTACCTAGAAAT